TAACACTGCTATCCATTTTTGTCTTCAAGCTGTCACTCACAATGCCATTATGTTCATGACTGCCGGGGCTGAGAGGCTCCACCGCCTCAAAAACACTTCAGGAGAGAACCTGGCACATCGCCGCGGGGACCCTTCATCTGAATTATGTTAATCAGCATTGCAAATGACAGCCAAACTCAACATGGATACCCTTATATGATCCGAGGTAAGGCCTCCAACTCAACCTGCAGCAGCCTGGGGGAGACGCGAGGACGGACAGGACTGACAGCAAGCAGAGTGAAGCAACCGCTGGGGTGAAGACAGCCAGTTGGACAAGCACTGAGAGATAGTGAGAGTGGATTAGCCCAGTGTGCACGCCTCAGAGGACGCACCACAAGCCCCCTGGGAGCCCACTCCAGCACACAGGTAGCAGCGCTGCAAGACATGGCCGACCGGCCCGCATGAAACACGGCTAAGGGGAAATCTCTCGACCAGAGAGGTTGTGAATTTATGTTCCATGTTGTGGTCAGTCAACCAAAAAGAGCTGCAAGTCGGCCAGTTCACATTCAGCTGCATTTATATTTTTGGCATTTGGGCCTGGGGCAGTGGAATGGTCGAGCATGGTGCGGGGGATTGGCATGTTGACTAAAGGTCAGTGGAATGGGGCCTGTGCCCTCCAGAGCATGCCTCTATGAGTTTGTGTCAGTTTTTAGCATTTTGTCAGCACTTTAAAACATGCATATGACTGTTGCAGTGATTCATCAGAGAGTTTTAGCGTTTGCCATTGGGCCTGCTGAAATTTTAACCACATAAACCTCCTCAGTGTTCAGAATTCAACATTTGGACCCAAAAGAGAAAATTAAACTTGCAGCTGCATCTTGATGAATAACCATCAAACTGAAACAAATACGCAGCTGAAACCAGAGACTCACTGCAGATCACACAAAACGTTTCCTTCTCACCAACACTGAAGCCCTAATTTAGTTTAATTAGGATTACCCAAATTATGATTTACTTGCTAAATGCCAGAATAAAGAAACTGTAAACACCTTTTGAATTTAGAAATTTATGCACAGTTTTTTAATATTTTGCAGAATTGCCTCTTAAGCTGGATGAATGATTGGCTTCCTGTCAAAAGTTACTCACTACACTATTGAAATTTTGGCCCATTACTCCTACACCTTTCCAACATGACCTTCACTGAGACTGAGATCAGAGCTACTCAACAACATGGACTTTGTAACCACCTGGTAACTATTTGGTGGAGCAGGATCTCTGGTTAGGAGCCACATCCGCCAGAGAGGAGCTGAGAGATGCGATATTTCACATTATGTCCTTTCCTCACCGTGTGTGCAGTGCACCCCCACAACATGATACTCCCACTTCACAGTTGGCACATGGTTCCCAGGCTTCTTCACTTTTTTCATTCAAATGCAATGATGGCCAAACATTTCAGTTTTAGATAATAGGACATCTCCAAACATTTCGATCTTTGTCTCTGAGTGCATCTGAAAAAACTGCATTTGGGCCTTTTCTGTTGCTCTTGCAGTAATGACTTCTTGAATTGAATAACTGAAATAAATCTACTTTTCAATTCCATACCAATATATTGAGTTGCACTTGTGGATGATAAGTTTGATCGCCTGTTATTGTTTTTGTGTTGCAATAGAACAAAGAGGAAACTGCAGGCCAGCAGCGATTTTTGAGAAAGTGGTAAAAGCCCAACGTGGCCCACTCTGTGGCTTCCTAAAAATGTGTTTTAATGGTAGAAATGCTCTGGTCCTGCTACAGGCTGGTCATGCCCAGAAGAACTACTGAATAATCATGCGCACCACGTCTTTACTATCTGTCATCTTACAAGCATTCAGGAATTTTACATCTTAATGTTTTATGGTTCAAACAATAATAAAGATCCAGGAATAACAATTAAGCAATTGCACAACAGTTGCAATTAGTTTGATGTCTGGGCTTTGACTGGGCCACTGCAGGTCCTTGATTTTCAGAACCATAACTGGACATTGCTTCTTTAAGGTAATTGCTAATGTCTTTCCATCTTAATATGGTCTCATAAATTCCACAGCAGCAAACCGCTGATGGTGTTCAGTGCAGGTTCAGGTTTTTGTGACGTCTACTTGTTTATTGGATTAACCTCGTTTTAAGACACAGAAAAAGAAGATTCTTTCAGTCTGTCCTGATAAGTACTTCCTTAGAAATGAAAAAGAATGTCACATTTCACAATGACCGTACAGCATGAAGTGAATGACAAGGGCGTGTTGTGCAACAGCTGCTTCCATCTGGAGCAAACGGCACCTGCGGAGGTTTGGTCTGACCAAACAGCCTGTGGTGTTTCCTCTCCTTCAGATCAAACTGACAGAGCTCCGACAGCAAAGGTTAAACCCACCAAACAAAGATGGTCGCCATCCATCCATCCAGTCCTGCCCCTCCGCTGGGAATTTATGTTTACTATAGCGCAACACAAAAGTACGAATAGCTCATCAACCGTTTCACATTTTGTCACAATCACAGACTTCAGTCTGTTTCTCAACCCAATAGTGCAAGATTATAAGATAAAAGCAAAACAAAGCTGAATTTTTAACATTTCTTTGCACATCAATCTGAAAAATGAGGTAAATATTCAGACCTTCACTTTCACAATTTTTAATAATTATTAAATAATCTGTGAGTAATTTATTCTTAATATGAGTCCAGATGTTCTGTGATGGTTCTAAAACCTACGGAGACGTGACTGTCTGTCCAAACCGGCCATCTGGGCAGCAAGAGCCGATTCAGAGAAGCAGCCAAGATGGAGATGGTAAGGTTTGGGAAGCTGCAGAGATTCACTGCTTAACTGGGAGGCTCTGCTGGCACCGCCACCAAGAACTGTGCAAACCATGGAAAAGAGGCAGCAAGTCTGCCCAAACACAAGGCATGTAGGGAAATCAAATGTGTTTGACTTGATCTGGTCAGATGAAACCAAAGTTAAAAGTTTATCGTTACCTGAACATACCAGCCCCACTGTGATTCCAGGTGGTAGTAATTAGTAGATTAATGGAGTTAGAAACAGGAAAACCTGTTCAGATGCTGCAAAAGGTCATTCAACAGGTTTCTACTCCCATCATCTCTCTAGTATCTTTACTTTGACACTTAATGCAGTTTAGATTTATTTAATACACAGTTAGGTCTTTGGTACATGTAGCTAACCAGCTAATCACCTTCCAAGAGGACATCGACCCAAAACATGAGAGCTTCCACAGAATGCTGTGGTTGAAGGATATATGCTAGAATGGCCTAATCAAAGTCCAAATCAAAATCCAACTGAGAGTTCCATAGGATAACAGAGGTTCTCTGTCCAGCCAATTTGACATTGAGCCAAAGAGGAATTTCAGTCTGGAGATGTAGCTACAAAATCAGTTTTCTGATTTTTATTTGATATAGAAAAAAAATATAACTTTCCTAATTATGCTGTTTGCATCTTAAAGTCTCCCGACTCCCATTTACCTTGACCTTTATATTGTAATGTCACAAATGTCAACAAGTTTATTAGTACTTTTGCAGGGCATTGAAAGCTCTTTAACTTCCACAGTTAAAGAGCTTTCAGCTGAAGTCCAGCAGCTGCAGGATGATCTGCTTCTGTCCTCATTTATCCTGATTTTCACCGTGAAAAAAGAAACTTGAAATCAGAAAAACGAAGCTCTCTAAGATAAACACCGAGCATTCAGACCTTACAGGCAACGGCCCTTCACAAAGTTACACACACACACACACACACACACACACACACACACACACACACACACACACACACACACACACACACACACACACAACACACACACACACACACACACACCCTCAGTCTTCACTGCGGGCTAAAAAAAAGTTCACTGACCATGCCATAATCAGCCCAACAAGACTGAATGTGCCACATTTTGCTCTTATTTTAATGGAATAAAAAGAGCAGTCATAACAACAACTAAAGCTGAAAGCAGAACTCCTGGTTCCTGCTGAGCAGACACAGCCGCGTAAAAATGATTCGGGTTTATTCCTGCTCATTATCCTCCTCCTGGAATAGAACCATTGGAGTAAGAGCTGCAGCGCATTCAGCCGATTTCTGAGCAGGGCTGGCTCTGAATGAGGTCTGAATACTGAGACCAGTGAAGAGGCGCTGGGAGAAACATAAAGGCGCATAATGCTGCACATCTCTTTGACCTCAACACTCATTTTGCTGCACTCAAAGACCCAGAGTTTCCAATATGCGAGTCTGAAAATGAGTTGTTTTCTTTCGTGATTCTGGCAAAGATGAAGCAGATGCATCATCCCAGATTACACGAAGTTGATGGAATGATGCTCAAATCTCGGTGTAACATTGCAGATAGGAGCTGGACTTAATCTCCAAACACCTCCCTTTGGAACATGTTAGGTAATGCAACAGAGGTTGGCTTCTTTGTTTTCTGAAGGATAACAGATTTCTACAACCAAACGAGGGTTTGGCAGATTTATCCGTTTCATAAAACCCTGAAAACAAAAACAATAACAACGATGATAATAATAAAGGATTTGGATTTAAGGATAATAAATTCAGTGTAAGGAATTTCGGGGTTTTCTCTGAAACGTCTTTAATAATTCAGGTCTCCCTCACTCCCCAGTCACTTCATTTGGATTGAAAAGATGGCATCGCTGGGGAGGAATGAATCATGTATTCGCTTATCTCAGATCTGCTCTGAATATTTCCGCACTCAAAATAAAATATTTAACCTAATCGCGCCTTTAAGGCCACCCGCAGACAGACAGCGAGCGAAAAAAGCAGTCGAGTCGATTGTTGAAGAAAGAGATTGAGAAGTTGAAGAAGTGGCAGAGAGGTTTGGTGCGCGCAAATCGCGATGCTGCTCAGGTCTGGCAGCGTGCGTCAGTGCGCATCTGTAGCTGGAGGTGCACCTGTTAACAGCGGCGCAAAGTGTGCGCTGCGAGGACTTTATCCGCACAGATCAACCAGGGGCAGATAAGAAGGGAACTGGACTCACGCTGCTGTTTTGTCCGGTCCAGTAGACCACGGCGTGGTTGTGCGCAGAGTCCCCAGTGAGAGCGAAGGTGCTGCTGTTGAGCCTGGGCTCATCCTGCCGGGTATTCTCGCTCCCATCCTGCCTGTTCCACCCGAATTCCGACCGGCCAGCTTTGTGGCTATCCAGCTGCGCGGTCCGGCCGGTCCAGTCGCTGAACTCGCTAAAGTCTGGAGCGCTCCTCTTGGCTCTCCAGTGCGCAGCATCCTCCGCCACCCCAGACTCAGGACTGCCTGGTTTAACTTCATCCAAACTAAAATTAGGGCCAGAAGTCGCAAGCATCCCAGATTCCCGTCCAGTAGCCCGGGGTTCCCTGACCTCCAGCGCCTCCTCCGCGGGGTCGGAGCGCACCCCCGGCGCCAGCTGCAGCTCCTCCCGGTGAAGTTGAACAGGCGACGGGCAAGATCCGCAACTTATCTCCGCCCTGGCGTGTTGGAGGGCATGAGCGGCGATCAGCAGCCAGAGACCCAGAAAGACGCGCCAGCCTGGGCGGGTGCCAGCCCAAGTCTCCATCGCTGACAGAGATCCGGGTGAAGGACGACTGGAGACCTGATTATCCGACACCTCAACTCCTCTCACTCAGGTCGCTCTGCAGAAAGTGACGCCTCGGCTGTCCGCCTGGATGTTTTTCCAAGGAGGGGGGGAAGCAGCGGAGGGAAGGGCTGAGGGGGAGTAAAGTGCTCCTCAGCGAAACTGTTCACGTCTGAGGAGCTTTTGGTCGGAAAAGCCACCACACAGGAGGGAGGAGCTGATTCTGAGCCAGCTGCCGAGTGAGCGCCCGGAAGAGACGCTCAGTGTTCTAGTGTGTGTGTGTGTGTGTGTGTGTGTGTGTGTGTGAGGGGGGGGGGGGGGTGTATGAGAGAAAAAGAGAGGAACGCTGTCCATGGTGCTGAAGCTTCTTTGAAGTGTTCAAATCTGAGCAGCACAGAATAGTCACTGTGCTGCAGCCTGCATTCTCCACACAGCCTCTCCATCTCTCTTTTATTTGTTTGTGCTGCTAATTCACTGAACACATTTAAAGATTCAGTTTGTAACATATGGCTGGAAAATGTTCCAGTTGCATTGGTGCGTAAATAAAACCGTGCGGTTTGGATGGGAGCAGTGCGGTGGCGCAGCAGTTTGCAGAAACTAAAACACTGTGGATTCAGGAGAAAGTCGTTCAGTGATTAAGGTGGAATCAGCAGCGCCATCTGGGATCAGAGTAAAAACAACAAAAGTCCTAAAGTATTCATACCCAGACTCTGTTAGATGTGACACATTTCATTAGTTATAAGACTTAATAATAATAATTGATCTAATCACTTCTACCTCCCCTGTCTGGCTTTGAATTAATCATAATCTTTTTTTATTTATTCATTTATTTTTTGTTGCTCTAAGTGTTATTTATTCTCATTTGCTGATTAATTTACTCATATGAAATAAATTCATGCTGGTCAGAATCATCACTTCATGACTCATCTTTCTGTATTTTCCTCAGTATTATTTAAAACCACAGTGTTTTTTCTCCTATGTTGTAAATTTTGTCTTTCTGTTCATTTATTTCTCCGTTTTCAAACATTCATCTTACTTTCAATCTGAATGTTTTCATTTACCTATAAATCCTTCTGGCACACTTCAATTCCCCTCACTTGGTCTAAAATAGAACAAAAGTAAATAAATGAAATGTTAAGCTTGTTAATAAATTAAAATGTTTGAATGTACAACATAAATAAGGCCTGAATGGAAACACTTCACAGCTCTGCTGATGTAACTGGATTTGAAACTCCTACCAAAAGACAGAAGAACGTGTTTGTTGTGAATTGGTACATAATCTGAATTGAGTTGTTCATTTTGGTGTATTTATATTCCAAAATAGCTGCTTCAGTGCTTTCTGCAAGTTCAGGAGGCTGGACTAAGAGTTTAAATGTTTTCTAGACTCCAAAAGTGCAGAAAGAAACCGGCTTTATATTTTAGAATTAACAGACAGTCAAAAACCAAATGCTCATGGACAAATAAACACTGAAATAGTTTTGGCAAAACATTTTAAAACCACTAGGAGGTTTAAGACTGTCTGGAAATGATTGTTTCTTTTACTTATTGTTCTCTATAGGGAACTCTATAGTCTATTAATCACATTTTATGTGTTTAATAAAACACATAAAAAAAGACAGCAAAACAGAAAAAGGATTCAACGGCAGCAAATGTAGACCAGAAAATAACAACTGGGCAAAGAGTAAATTGACTGAAGTATAGTTCAAGTGTAATCTGTAAAATCCAGGCAGCATCTGGAGACACTCCTGACTCCAGATGCTCAAACTGAAACCTCAATACTTCCAAACAGCCTGACTGAACGTTCCTGAAGTTCTGCTGTGATTCTGTTCTTCCATGTTTCTGCACAACCTCTTCACATCCTGCAATCAGCGTTCAAGTCAGGTTGAGGTGTCCCCTGATTTCTTTTCTAGACCTTCTGTTGTTCTGGGGTCACAGAAAACATATTTGATATATAATAGACTTTATTATTGACTCATAAAGCCCAAAAGCTAAACTACCAAAGCTTCTGTTTTTGGAGCCGGTTGGGTTTGACGTCCCTCCACAGCCAGCTAGTGTCTACTCACCTTTTCTCTTAAGTGCATAACCAGCTGCAAAAACAAAGAGAACTTATTGTTCTAGACTGATGCTCACAAAATGCCACCATATTTTCTTTGAGTGTAATTTGGAGCTCAGCTGGGAAATTTTTCGGACTAATTTCTGACTTTATCTGCTGTTTATAGGTGAGCCATGAATGCACTCAAACAAAGAAACCCCTGGGGCCTTAAAAACCTTAATTTCCCCACAGGCTGCAATTATTAAAGAGATAAATGTGGACAGGACACTTTGCACTGCAAACAAGGTCGTCTTTTGTTCATTGTTTATTTATTTAGTCTCCAAGTTTTGTAGTAATGAAGCCAGGGGGTTTCTGTTAGATGGCATCATCCTGTCTGTGTGTGTATGTGTGTGTTTGGAGGTGGTGATTGTGGTGAGGGCGTGCAGGACGGCAGGAAACAAGCTGGTTAAAGACTGTTGGCTCAAATAGCTGGAAAACTCTTTCTATCCCAGTGACGTCATCCTTCAGTCTGAAAGCCGTCTGGGAGCAGATCTTGATTTTGTTTTCTCAGATCATGTCACATAATAAGAATACAATAATTATTGTGGGGATGTTTTAAGATACAGTTTAGCTACAGTTTACAGTCATTCTTGCTTTGTGGCAGTGCAGAGAAATCTGATTAAACTCCACATTTTACTGCAGCAGCTCCTGTGTGTTGATGTATAATTTTAAACATACTGCCGTCTGCTCTGCGCTTCTCACATTAAAATCACTGGGGATTTGCTGGGATTCAGACTGAGCCTCTGGGGTTTACCCTGATGTTCAATTTGTGGCCAGTCAAGTTGATAGACAAGGATGCAACATGCCAGGCCGCTAATGAATAAGCAAGCTGCACTTAGCCACTCAAACAAACCCACTCCCACAGAGGAGGAGAAAAAAGACTCACTCATTTTCTTTCATGCACACACATTCCCTTTCTGTCCAGGTCCTTGATGTGCAGCTACACAGTCTATCCCTGCTCTCCCCCTCTCTGTCACTCTCTCACGCCTCTGCCTCACTTCTCTCCTTGGAGTGCTGTAACTCCCTGCCAATTCCTCCCAATCAATCAGAACGTGCACTCTCTCTCCTCCAGGAACCCAAACCCTGAACCCTTCTGCACAGACCGACCCAGACTTCCAGTTCTTTCTGATTGGAGCCAAAAAGCAAGCTTGCATTACAGATTTTAAGTCAGTGTATTAGCTGACCTGGCCATTTTAATTTGAATTTTTAAGGTTGATCATTTCCACTGCCAATGAACATTTTTCATGTTCGGACAGAGTTTTGCAAAACATCCAAGCCAAACTGGGCCAGTTTCCGGGTTGAAGCTCACTGGGTCACCCAGCCTGGGTGCCTGGGTGAGGGAACCCAGCCTGGTGAGGGAACCCAGCCTGGGTGAGCTCCTTTGTCTAGAGCCCATAACCAGAGAGGAAAGGCCATATTAGGGTTTCTGCCCAACATGAGCTTTCAAATTGTGTGAGGGGTCAAAGGTCGCAACGTCCATGTGAGTTGGGGAAGGCAGGAACTTTGATGCTCTCATTCTCAGCACAGAAAGTGACTTTTGAAGTGGAATATCATTAATGGGAGTTGTACTTAATTTAAGTCATTTCAAAAATTTATTTCTGTTTTCTATTTGCTTTTCACATTTCTAATGTCTGAAAAATAATATTTTCCTTTCAATGCCATATAATCCATATAGTCCACTTATTACATATCCAAAAATACTGTGCATATAGTTACCACCAAGTGAATTCAGATCATAATTTACATTTACTGGCTTTACTGACGCCGTACTGGATGATATAAAGATTATTTATGAAGCTGGATTCCCAGACCTCAGAATTTGAGTCTCTAGAGTCCAAGTCGTGCCTGAAGTGTCTGATTTTATGGTTGAGCTTCAGTCGTGATACTGAGGCATCCATCTCAGCTGGTTAATTTATTTTCTGGAGGAATTTGGGCCAAAATGAGACACAATCTCAATATGTTCAGTTCAACTTTAAGCCTTTTGAAATGATAATAAATAAAAACTTGTGAGACAAGGTCTCTCTTTATGCTCTGTTAGGGAATAAAAGGAAAACTGCCAGTGATTTTGCCCAAAAGCAATTTGTTTTTTGCGTCTGTAACAGAACGGCCATTTTAAATAACTGAGTAAAATATTATGCTGCTGCAGTAAAAGTTGTTTTTGTTTACTGGTGGGGCTGATAAGCTTGGCCGCCCAGCAAAGAGAACGGAGCTGCTGTCCAACACAAAACATGTCCGGTTCTGGAACAGAGGACGGCCAAATGAATCCTTCAAACATTATTAATCTTTAAAGTTCTAACAGTCTCCTGAAACTCTGACTTCTGGCCAGAACAAAATGAAGAGAATTCTCTGAATGTCTGTCAGTCGGTGAGTTTGATGATCCAAAAGGTCTCATCTAAAACAACAGCAGCCAAAGAAGCAGAGACAAGAAAAAGCTCCCAGTTCACATCATCCCTGAGCAGAGACTGAATTATTACACAGACATGTAATGAGATTTTAATGAAAGTGAATGAAACTTCTCATCTCTTGTGATGCTGCCATTCATCAATTACCATGGCTTACTAATGGAGTGGAAATTATTAATCCCATTTAACAATAAATCAAACGGACTTTTTTCAAATCAATCTGCCTTCAAGTAAGACATATTCTGTGTCTAGAGGTGGCACAAAAAGGGAACATTTTATCAGAGAGATATGTCTTTATGAGCAAACAGGCCCGGTGCTTTGAGAGCACCTTTAACCATGAGGAAGTGGCTTTCAGTAAAACACTTAATGTCTCTTTAAGGCTGAACTGATCTGTGGTGAAACGTCTCTGTCCGTCTTCCAGCTATTGCTGCAGAACGAGAGCAGCTATGGGCTCCGGCTCAAAGGAAGCAGAAAATGGAAACAACAACGAAGCCTCACGACATGGTGCAGTTTTACCCAGCCGTGTTATTTGCAACCATTTTCTAATTACTTCCTGTACTCAGAGTGCATATTTCATCGAAGAAATCAGCCTGAGTCATGATTTAAAAAATAAAATACAGACAAGACATTTCAGAAGAAATACAAATATTTTGACAAGTAATATGAAATATGTAAATAATGAAAAAATGTTAGTAAGTGTTAGAATATAAACAGAGGTAAAATATTAATGTA